AGGGTGTTTTTCCTAGCAATCAGCTCCATTGTGAGCTCGGAGCTCAAAATGCAAGACTTGTGGGGCTCATAGAGTTAAATTTCAATGCTGTAACTTCCATATTTGCATTCCCTTTTCCTTCCCACAAGTCGCAGAAAGTGTAGAAAGACTGTAGGTATGGGAGAGGAGGAAGAAGTTGGAAAATTATCCAATACCAGGAACTCCTTAGGGTGGCATTATGGAGGCATCACAGGAATGTGAGAGGACAGGAGGGAAAGGCAGGCAGAGGCATGACCAAAAAAGTGATGAGAGCATGCCTCCTTTATAATTTTGCAAAGCCTTCTTGATTTTGTGCCTTAAAAATGAAATATTTCATAACAAAACCTAATTAATGTTTGAATTATGACCTGACCTATGGGGACAAAAGTATGGTAGGCAGAATAATGCCCTCCTGCAAAGAAGTCCATGTCCTAATCCTCAGTCCCTGTGAATATGTTATCTTATGTGGCGAAGAGACTTTGCAGATGTGATGAAGTTGAGGATGTTGAGATAGGGAGATTATCTTGGGTCATCTAGTTGGTCTTAATGTCATCACAAAGGTCCTTACAAGTGAAAGTGGGACAGAGTCAGGGGGAAGTGTGCTGCTGGTTTTGAAGGTGTAGAAAGGGGCCATGAGTGGAGAAATGGAGACAGCCTCTACAAAAGGCTGGAAAATGCAAGGGAATAAATTCTCCCCAAGAGGCTCCAGTAAGGAACAGTTGATTTTACCCTGGTACCATGACATATTTCTGACCTACAGAACTTTATAACAAAAAATATGCATTGTCGTAAGCAGCCAAATGTAGTTATTTGTTACAGTTCCTACAGAAAACTTATAGAAAAGCAAATGCAGTGCATCAAGCATTTTATGGGAAGACCTAAGTGGGACACCCAACATAAACTGGGGAGCTCAGGGAAGGTTTCCCTATACATAGGAAATAAATGGAAAAGGAGTTTCCAGGTCAAAGAGGAGGAGAAAGAACATTCTGGTCTATGGAGTCAGGGTGGTGGTGAGACAAGAGCAACAAAAGGAATAAGGTTAGAAACAAGAGTTGGTTTGGAATACCACAAATCATCCAGCCTTGTTGAAAAACAATGTGGCAAGAGATGAAGCAGGAGAGGTGGATGGGGGAGAGCAGAACAAATTCTCTCCCTGGGGAAGGGTTTAGGTTTTCAATAAGAGCTCATGGGGAGGCAATGAAATGTTTTAAAGAATGGTGTGTGTTTGTGTTTGTGTGTGTGTATGTGTGTGTGTGTGTATGTGCATGTGTTAGAGGACGGAATGACAGTAAAATTTGCATTTAAAATTACAGTAAATATGTGTGTGTGTGTATAGACACACACACATATATTTTAAATGCAAATTTAAAATAATATTAAAATAAAATAATTTTAATACATTTTAAATGCAAATTTTAAATAAAATAAAGTTGCACTAAATACACACACACACACACACATACACACAAAACTTTCCCTTTCAGCAAATAATCCCTGAACAGAAGTAAACAACAGCGATTTCAAATATGAGCCTGGGTCCAAATGCCACAAGCCACAGGCTCTCAATATCACAAGGCAGGGTGTTAGATTTACAGTTAGACTCTCTTTCAACGTGGGTGACAATTCGTAGTGTTCTTCAGGAGGGGAGACTGCATCTGCTGCTTTCTTCTGCACCCTCAATCCCTCCTCTTTTTAGTGGAGTGAGTAGGAGAGGGATTTATTCAATGAGGGCACCCTGGGTGGTTTGGGGATGCTTTAGTCCCCACCTAATCTCTATCAGACCCAACCAAAGCCACTCCAAATATTATGTAATAGCAATACTTTTCCTTAATGTGGATAATCTTAAAAGTGAGAAGATATACAGCTCTAGAAAAATTTTAAATGGTTTGTACTTATGCTGTCATAAAAATAATAATCAAAGCAACAGCTGTAAGAGAAATCCATAAACATCAATCCCCACCTCATCCCTAACCCCCCAATATTCAACCTCTGAGAAACACCACTGGAGTTTTAAGTTAATAAATAGTTTATAGATTCTCCTGAGCTTCCCTCTGGAGGTTGCCAATATATTGTGACTCCACACTCTCATGAATTCTGAGTTTTCTCTGCTCCCCTCCACAAAAGATTTATTATAGTTACCGAGGGAATAGTCTATTTGCAGAACGATGAAATAAAATTATGATTTCATTCTAATTAGAATGACCACTTTCACTTAAAGCCTCCCCTCTCCCCGCAGAAACGTACACAAGAATCTCAACTTCATCTCTGACCTTGTCCATTTCTTCTGGGATACTGTCTTAGTTCCAGGGGCTGTAACAAAATAACATAGACTGGTGTTAAACTGGCTTAAACCAGTTATTTATTTCTCACAGTTCTGGAGGTTGGGCAGTCCAAGATCAAGGCACTCAGAGATGTGGTGTCTGTGGGGGCCTGCTTCCTGGTTTGCAGATAGCTGCTTTCTTGCTGTGTTCTCACATGACAGAGATCTCGTCTCTCTCTCTCCCCGTCTCTTTATTTGAGACAGAGTCTCACTCTGTTGCCCAGGCTGGAGTTCAGTGGTACACTCTCAGCTCACTGTAGCCTCTACCTCTTAGGCTGAAGTGATCCTTTCACCTCAGCCTCCTGAGTAGCTGGGACTACAGGAGTGTGGCACCATGCTCAGCTAATTTTTGTGTATTTTGTAGAGATGAGGTTTTGCCATACTGCCCAGGCTGGTCTCAAACTCCTGGACTCAAGCGATCCACCTGCCTTGGCCTCCCAAAGAGGTGGAACTGCAGGCATGAGTCACCATTCCCAGCCTTTTGTCTCTTCTTAGAAGGGCACTAAAGCCCATTCATGAGTGCTCTACCTTCATGACCTAATTACTTCCCGAAGACCCCACTTTCACCACCACATTGGGGATTAGGATTCCATTATATGAACTTTTATGGGGGAACACAAACCATTCAGTCCATAGCAGATATGGTGAGACTTAGGTATGAAATGTTTTCCTTTAACTTTTACTTTTGTTGCCATCTTTGTTAAAAATAGTTGAAAGATAGAAAATGACTTAGCTCTGCAGTTCTGGAGGACTCACTGGTACTCCACTGCATCCTGTGTTTAGCCAGCTCAACCCAAGCTAATGGAGAAGTAGATTTCCTTCTCCAGGAAGGGTCAAGGCCAGGAAGAGAGGTGGACAGGTCTCAGAAAGCAGGCAGTGTCAAATGCTGAGCAAAAGCCAAGCTCAGAAGGAGGAAATGTAGTGTTTATGAAACCAACTTGCAAATGCAAACATGAGCGAACCAAGGCAATGTAACAAATGATCCTCAACAGCTGGATTTCTTCAGTGCTGAAACTTATAATAAACATCCATGGCTATCTTTGCAACATGATTTGTCTGTAAATATACATACATCTATTTAATAGAACCACAAGGATTAGTTAACAAAAAAATTGCCTAAGAACCATCAACTTTCACTTCTCCAATTGGGTCACAATCTACAAGTTAATCTGTTAGTAAAAAAAAAATAAATAACTTTTCTCTCTAATTGTGGTGGGAATCAGTAATTGTAGGATTCCCAGGAAGATTCTGAAAAGCCCTTGGATATTGAAGGATTTGGATTGCAGTTTTCTCAATCTGTTAAATGTTGAGGAGGGGGGTAGAGAAAATACACCTTTTTTTCCCCCCACAATCCTAAAAGTTTATGAACTTTCAGAGAGACACAGAAGCCAACCTGAAAGAGTTCCCAGTGGTCAAAGCTGGAACCATCTGAGCAACAAAATTAATAATGTAGTATTGAATTCTAGCCAAAAATATAAAATAAATATACATGGGTCCATATTGACATAACAAATACTGAAATAAATGATAGAATAAACAAGAGAGATGGAACAAATCTTCCTTACAGAATAATTCTAAATAATAATATATGGATACTCCCTCCTCTGGGATGGAGTTTAATCTTGCCCTCATCTTGAGTGTGGGTTGAATTGAGTCATGCCATTCAGAGTAGAGTGTATGGAAAGAGAAAAACAGCTTTGCAGTAGAGAAACCTGGCAGACACAACCTTAACTAAGGGATCAAGGTCAAGTCACCAGTGATAAGTCACGTGGCCATCCTGCCATCGTCCCTGAGAGGATGAGATGGGGAAGGCACTTCATCTCTGAGGCTTTCCTCCCCCAAGTCTCATCATGAGAAGAAAACAGTAGACAACACCCACATGAGTGGGTGTCGAGGTACCCCCACAAAACTATACCTTACCAGAATACTTTATCACAATACTTTACTAGAATTCCTTACAGCTGTTGAAGTCAAGAAAAGACAGAGAAACTATCATGAATTAGAGGAGACAAAAGACACAGGAAGTTAAATGCAGCATGGTATCCCGGCCGGGATCCTGAAAGGGAAAAGGGTTAGCCTAAAAGCTAGTGACAGCTACATCAAGTCTGGAGTAGTGTTAATAGTGGCAGACCAATATTAATTTCTTTTAAAAAATATTTTTAGTAGAAATGAGGTCTCGCTGTGTTGCCCAGGCTGGTCTCGAACTTCTGAGCTCAAGCGATCCTCCTGCCTGCCTTGGCCTCTCAAAATGCTGAGATTACAAGGCGTGAGCCACCGTTCCGGGCCCAATGTGAATTTCTTAGTTTTGACAAATGTGCCATGGTTGTCGAAGCTGTAGGCATTAGGAGACACCGACTGAAGGGTATATAGAGGACTCTCTCTACTATCTTTGCAACTTTTTTTTAGTTCCAAAAGAAAGTTTTTTAAAAAAACAACAAAAAAATGCACTTGTACGCCATAAATTTATACTAAAAACAATAAAATCAAAAATTATTTAAAAAACAAAAAAGTTTATAAACTTAGGGTGCAAATAGAAACTTCTTGAAAAGCAGCAGCCGATCCCCTCCCCCAACCCGCCTGTACAGCACCCTAGCGAGGGGTGTGAGGGTCACAGCCTGGCTCTCCCGCGATGGGCGGGCGCGTCCAGCCGCGACTCCTCCCCGGAGCCTCACCGGCGCCGGACTCTGCCCTGGGCGCGCCCCGCGGGGCGGAGCCAAACCTGCGGGCGGTGGCGGCTGCACTCCCAAGACCCTGGCAACCGACCCTGGCCCCAGGGCCCGATCACCCAGGGGAGGAGCAGCACCGGGACCCCGTGCCGGCTGGGCGCCCCCCAAGGTAGGCGAGTCCGAAGGTAGGGATCTTCGGGCCCGGTCCCTGCGGCGCGCCCCCGCATCCCCTCCAGGTATGTGGGTGTCCAGGTGCCTTTCCAGCGGCTTCCCCAGCGGAGCTCCTGGCATCAAAGACATTTCCTGTAAAAGGGTCCTTGGTGAAGAGGTAATCCTTCCTGAAAACCTCGGTTCTGGGCTCGAATTTCCTGGGCGAGAAGTTTCTTCTCCACTGGGAAGAGTTACTTTTTTTCCTCAGAGAGGAACCCCTACTTAACCCGGCGCACACCTGATTATTTATTTAGGTTGTTGTTATACAATCCGTTTGTCAGGGGTCCCCGCGATTTCTGCCTGCTAATTTCAGAGGCTGTGCAGAAAAGTCCTGCGGTAAACGCCCTGACCTGGGAACTCCAGCGTGATGACTTTGACAGGTCACTGCGCTCGTGTTTTTTAAACAGCAGAGATGAATGAGGGTGGCTGTCTTCATTCATTTGCCGGGGCTTCGGCAGCTGCAGGTGTAGTTAAAAGAACAGCCCATTGCTTGACCGTTTCCTTCATGTTGAGTAGGCATCATGAGATTTTAGAGCTGGAAGTTACAGAGTGCTAGGCAGCTAGACAAAGGAACACTTATCTTACTAAAGACTAGTATGGGACCGTGCAGGTGTAGTTTTTAGACTGGATGATAACATAGCTGTGAATTTTCAGCCTTTTTGGAAGTGAAGACAAAATTGAATGTAAGGATCAGAAAAAGCAACAAGCCCTGAAGCTAACTGAAGCTGCGTCTGTTCCCCATTATATTCTAATTGTTTTATTTTAGGAATCAAAACCTCTTTTACTTTCTTGGTGTATATAGATCGGTTGAAGTGTCAGAATACAAAAAGGAATTATTCTGTGTTTGTGATAGAGAGGAGATAATCTGTCCTTTTGATTTTACCTAATGCTATTAAATATTCAGAGCTACTGAAGTCCGGTTTTCCTGAAATGTGAGCTGGGCAGGAGTGTCAGGTACCCTGGCAGACACAATTGGTGCTGTTGTTACGCTTTTCCCCTGCTGCCCACTCCCTTCTCCACCGCACTCCCAGTTTGAGTGAAGGCCCTTGACACAGAGGAATTTCTGCCCAAGGCAGGGAGTGTCCCCGTGTAGTTCCTCAAATGTTTACAGAAAGAATGAAAACAACTATACTTCCTGGGACCCAGGCTGACGTCACAAGGCCAACGTCATAAGAAGGTTCTTACCTCTTGTTATTTACAAAATAAATTGATCCCTTGTCCTAACTAGAAAGAGACTTTTGAAACTAATACTGATGCTATTTTGTGAATTACGGATAGGCATGTTATTTGTTAGCTTATTTGTTTACAGTGTGCTCAACACTGAAGGTGAGTTGTAATCCAAATTTTGGCCACAGCTAAAAAACGTAAGCTAGATTTAGACAAAGCTAAAAAATGAGGTGTATGTTTGCTTGGAATAATGACTGAAAAGGGAAATAACTGAAGATTTTGGTGGGAATGTAAGTCTTTTAAAGTAGTAGTTTCTCATCTTTTGAACTGAGATATTTACATCAAAATTATATGGCTATTTATTGACTGAAAATATTTCATAATGGCAAAATTTTACCATGAATTTACTAACATGTTTAAATGAATGTCATTTACTAAGCACAAAAACAGCCATTTATGTGGGTTTGGAAAACGAGAGAGAGAGAGAGAGTGTGTGTGTGTGTGTGTGTGTACATTCAGTTTTAGAAACTATTTGGTGCATCTGTAAATTTGTGGGCCTATTCATGTAATCACTAAAACAATATTTATTGAGGGCACTGTGTTCTGTGTGAGAGAACCAGATGGGAGGGGAAGAAGGTCTGGGCCAAACACAGCCCAGTGTAAACAAGACACAGTTCTGTCCTCCTGGAATTGACTACATTGGAGTCCTCCAGGCCACCCCAAGTCAAGGCCATAGATTTACAGACCACAATGATCCATTCAATTTCGACCGTGACTGAAACCAGATTAGTTTCGAATCACATATTTCCTTAAATTGATGTAAACAGTCAAATCTAAAAATGATAGAGGAGCTTGTGTGTTATTCTGGTCAGTGGTTTTCTCTTTTGTTTAGGTTGGGGAAGAACTTAGGAATCATGTGTTTCAGGCTTAATGCTATGAAATATTAACTTAAAATAGCTAAGTATCAATTTCATGCAAATTAAATAAAAACTAAACTTGTAGTATGGATGACAATAATCTAGAGACAAAAATTAATAAACAAAAAATTTAAAACGGAAAAAAAATCTGTCCATTAAATTATTTTTTTGCTATAAATTAGAAAAATATGACTATAATTAGATTTTCCCCCTGGACGAAAACAGCATCTTTATTCAAGTTATTCTTACTTTTCCTTCTTTTTTTTTTTTTTAACAGCTTTATTGGAGATATAATTTACGTACCATGAAATATATCTAAGTGTTTCAATGATTTTTGGTAAATTTATTGAATGGTGCAACCATTAGCACAATCCAATTTTATATCATTTCATCATTCCCCAAACATCCCTGGCACCTGTTTGCAATCACTCATCATTCTTACCCCAGCCCCAGACAACCCCTAGTCTATTGTGTCTGTTTAGATCTGCCTTTTCTGGACATTTCATACAGATGGAATCGTACAATATATAGTCTTTAGCATCTGGCTTTTTTCAGTTAGAATAGTTGTTGAGATTTATTCAGGTTGTCACATGTATCTGTAGTTGGTTCCTTTTTATTGCTTGACTAGGGTTTATTCCATGCCATGGCTATGCCACATTTTGTTCACCATTTAGTAGACGTTTATGCAATTACATTTGCATGGTAAAACAGATACGTTGGTGCAGCTTCCATGGTAGCATAATGTGAGAATAACTGATGTGAGCCAGCCTCTTATTTGGTGCTTTGACTCTCTTCTATGATAATTTGAAATATGAATGCCAAGAGTTAAACAACCAGGTTCCTATTAAGCAGTGGTGTTTTCTGCGTATAACTGTCTAGAGAACAAACCAACATTAAGAACTTCTTAACTTGGCCGGGCACAGTGGCTCACGCCTGTAATCCCAGCACTTTGGGAGGCCGAGCTGGGCGGATCATGAGGTCAGGAGTTCGAGACCAGCCTGACCAATATAGTGAAACCCCATCTCTACTAAAAATACAAAAACTAGCCGGGCATGGAGGCATGCGTCTGTAATTCCAGCTACTCAGGAGGTTGAGGGAGGAGAATCGCTTGAACCCAGGAGGCAGAGGTTTCAGTGAGCCGAGATTACACTATTGCACTCCAGCCTGGGTGACAGAACGAGACTCGTCTGAACTTCTAACTTTCTCCAGCAATTTGGGAGGCTGAGGCGGGTGGATCACCTGAGGTCAGGAGTTGGAGACCAGCCTGGCCAACATTGTGAAACCCCTTCCCTACTAAAAATATTTTTTTAAAAATTAGCTGTGTGTGGTGGCGTGTGCCTGTGATCCCATCTCCTCGGGAGGCTGAGGTAAGAGAATTGCTTGAGCCTGGGAGGTGGAGGTTGCAGTGAGCTGAGATCTCGCCACTGCACTCCAGCCTGGGCAACAGAGCGAGACTCTGCCTCAAACAAACAAACAAACAAACAAACAAACAAACAAACAAAAAAGAACTTCTTAACTTTGCAAGAACATTGACTTTTGGTATACCACTATTAGGAATCAGGAAACTGGAATAGCAATTTCCCTCCAGAATTGTTTTCTTATCTATCTGAATTGACCTTCCTTTGTGCTATTATGGCAAATGCATTTTGGGGGTGGGGGCGGGTCATGTTTGACAATTTATGCTTAAATATCCTCTTAGGGAGATTTCTGTAGTTGAACAGAAATCCTTTTATAAAAATCTAGTCAGTTCTGTGAGCCTAAAAAGAAGACAGTGTCTCTCTGAATGCCTTTAAGTTCCTACTCAAATTGCAAGTTTCTTTTGGGGGAAAAAAAAGAGCATCAAAATAACTTGAGGTCTGTTTTTGTGTGTATGTGTGTTTCAAGACAGGGTCTTATTCTGTCACTCATGCGGGAGTGCAGTGTCAGGATCCTAGCTCACTGAAGCCTCAAACTCCTGGGCTCAAGTGATCCTCCTTCCTCAGCCTTCTGTATGGCTGGGACTACAGGAACGTGGCACCACGCCTAGCTAATTAAATTTTTTTTTTCACAGATGAGGTATCACTGTGTTACACAGACTGGCCTCCAATTCCTGGCCTTAAGCAATCCTTCCACCTTGGCCTCCCAAAATGCTGGGATTACAGATGTGAACCACTGTGGCCAGCTTTAGAAGTCTATTGTATGGGCAATTTAGAATGCAAAAGATTTTTTTTTAACATCTACAATTTGAAAAGAAGATAATGTAGGTTAAATAATATAGTTTTCCAAAGCTGAATGTCTTCAATTGCAACACATTTTTTTCTGCTGGAAATGTCAAAACAACTTCCTAAAACTCCTAGGTGAGAATACTACTACTGTTTTGATGATCTGTGTGTGATTGGATGGAGTAATCAATCTCGATTGGTAATACACCTTTGTTTCCTTGATAAGGATTTTTAAAATTCTAAAACAAATGCATTTTTTTTTTAGCCTTATACTGATGATTTTATACCAAGTATCTCCTAAGAAGTATTTGCCATCTACAGGAATCTACCTTCATCATTCTCACTTTCAAATACTCCAGGGATCAGATTAGGGCGGAGACATTCACCAAGCTATGTTGGTTTATCAAGAGAAAGAAGGCTTGATTGGTATTGAAGTGTAAGCACCTGCTATTTATTTTGATGAGGTCACTTACGTTGTTGTGATCTGATACAAGGAACTTAGTTTTACCCAAAGTGGGAGGCTGCCTCTGACACTTCTGTCTTTCTATAAACACCTGGAATTTGGTAGGACGCTGCTCTTGGATACGTCAAACATCTTCATGGTGTGGGAGGGTGGGCGACGGTATTGATGAAAAGTAGGGTCATGGCTGGGCTTGGTGGCTCACGCCTGTAAT